CTCTTTCCTAGTAGCTTTGTCTTTGGTAGGGACCCATTATACAGGTTGCTTTCATTTATTTCCTTTAAAGCTTCAGGCATTCTGATATTACGGTACATTATTATATGAGAAAAGTACAAGTTGTTTTGGGATACCATTTTGCTAAACATATTATTGCGACAGATAGGATTGTGAGCCATTTTGGTTAACTTAGCATGAGCCGCAATTGTGAGTTGGAATTGGGAGGTGAATATAAAAACAAAATCAGAAACAAGAACTTAATAACATGTCCGATCTCAATCCTGAACTTATGAGCACATATAATATCAATCAATGAACACGAAGGGGGAAAAGAAGAAATGCAAGTACCTGCATTGCTCGTATAGAAACCCCAATCAATGAAAGCGGATACGCAACGATCTTAAACCCAATCTCCTGAAGCTCCATAGGATTAAGTATGGGCGTCTTGCCCCCTCCCTCAAGCATATTAGCCTACACAACGCAACAAATCATCCCAAGCAGCACCAATGCATTTCCCAAAAATAAGAAAGAAAAAACATACCATTTTGGGAACAAGCGGAGAAACCTCACAGAAAGCCTTCATCTCTTCTCTGGAAGCCAGCGCGTCAATGAAAAGAACATCAGCTCCAGCATCCACAAAAGCCCTCGACCTAACCAGCGCTTCCTCCAACGACAAAGCCTGGCGAGAATCCGTACGCGCCACAATCACAATATCAGAACCACTCTCTCTTCTCGCATCAACCGCAGCCTTAATCTTCATCACCGCCTCTTCTCTCGACACCACTCTCCTCCCGCGCGTGTGTCCACACGCCTTCGGCGACACCTATCCAATTCGTATCCAACAACAAACGTAACTAACTACTAATTACTAATATGTAATCGACAATCATTTTCACTTGAGACATCGAGATCTATTTGCCTGATCTTCGAGAATGATTCCGGCGAAACCGGCGGCGATGTATCCCTTGAGAGTTCGCTTGACGTTCATGGCGTTGCCGTAGCCGTTGTCGGCGTCGCCGATGACGGGAATGGAGACGGCTTGCGTGATGAGGTGGCCTTGCTGGAGCATTTCGGCGTAGGAGATGAGGCCGGTGTCGGGAAGAGCGAGTTTGGCGGCGGAGATAGAGAAGCCGCTGGTGAAGCAGAACTGGAAGCCGGCGTCCTGGACGAGCTTGGCGCTGAGAGCGTCGAAGCAGGCGGGGCCTTGGTGGAGCCCCGGGGAGTCCAGGATTCGGCGGAGGAGCTTGGCGGAAGGAGCGGCGGAGGAGCATCTTATGGCGAGTGATGATTTGAACGTTGGTGAGAGCGATTGGGATCGGTGAGGGACGCGGGTAACACCAACAGTGAAGCTGGGACTGCTAACCGCTGAAACCTTCATTGCTGTCTTCTCCAACTCAACTGCACTTCTCCAATCCTTCATATCATTCTCACAAATTCTTTTTTAAATATATATTATTTATTATGTTTAGTTAAATTAATATTTAATTATAATAATTACATTATTTTTTAAAATTTTTAAAAATATAGTGTAAATATAAATTATAAAAATGTAGTATTATTTTTTTAAAAATTTAAATTATATCACATAATATATTTTATTTAAAGTAAAATTAAATATTAATAAATTACTTATAAACAACCATCATTATTCTCTTGTATTATCTATTACTTATTTTTATTGGTCACATTAAAATATAAAATTTATGCATCTAAAAAAAACATAAATGACAAGTATAAAAATTATAATGAAACATTTTTAATTATAGAACCGAAAATAAAGTTCATAAGATTATAAGTAGCGAAAAGGTAATTAAATTTTAAAATTATAAGTGAAACTTGTATAATGTAAAATTTAGATATAGTTATGAGTCAGCACAAATATCATATGAAACACTACCTTCCCTCAACGTCAAAAAAATCTTATATATCTTATCTTTTATCTTAATATTCAATTGTTTTGGTTTTCAAATTTAAATAAGCGATTCCATTTAAAAAGGGGAAAAAGGATTCAACATTTATTTTCTCTGTACATAAAACCAAGCTTAAAATCGTACTTAAAAGAAGAATAATACTTGACGCTTGGATAATTAAATATTATTAAATGCACATGTATTAATATAACTTTTTAAAAATTAAATGTTTATTGAATGCACTTGTCACAGAAGTCATTATGAAGATTATTTGAAACACCACCTCTCAGTCACTCAACTCATTTCTTTATTAGTAACTCTTAATATTCAAATGCTTTGAGTTTCAATTAATTCAAATTGGTGAATCCATTTAAAGACAGATAGAAAAAAAAATGTCTCTCAACATTTATTTTCTTTTTACATAAAATTCAAACTTGAAATAGTATTTAAAAGAAGTATATTAGTTCTTTTTTTAACTATAGTATGAAATATCTATCTTAAAACAATGACTAATCTCTAAATATTATTGAAACACTTCATATTGTAAGTATATATTAATAGAGTTTATGGTGACATTGTCCATCTAAAAAAAATTTTCACAATCCATCAATCAAAAGTTATGATTTAGATGATATTTTAGATAATTAATATAAAAATTAACACATTTATTATTTATAGTGAATTATAATTAAATAACAGTGTAAAAATGTCTTACATCCATTGATTTGAATTTCAAAAAATTAAATGTCTATCTGTTTAACTTTTCATGTAATTTTACTTATAAGAAAATCGACAATATTATCTTTGAAAAGAATGAATACTCATATATATATATATATATATATATATATATGTGTATGTGTGTGTTGTACAATATCACGGTATATAATAATTTGTTTATTTTTGGTACACACCATCCTATATTATTTTTAAAACAAAAAATTGATAATAACCTTTAAATCTTTATTGATACCTCAATTTCTTTCTTTACAATAAAAAATAAAAATACCTCAGCTTCTTTCACCTCAATTTCCGACATTTTCCATTGTGAATACATTAACTCTGAAATTCAAGTTCAATTTTATAAAATAATTTTTCAAATTTACATAATCAGTGATATCAAATTTTGATTTATGTTACTATACAAGTAAAGATGCATGTGGTTTATATAATTATGAAATACCAGGTATGGTGAATGCCAAAATAGATAGGTCATCTATATTTTTTTTATCATATTTTAGCATAGTAATATATATTATTATTATTATATAAAAATACAATTATTAATTTCTATCCTTAATTAATCAAAAAGACTATAAGTCATTCTAATATTTCATATTTATAAAAATAAATAATTTTTTGAAATGTATGTAACTTTTTTATAAAACTACTACTATAATATTCAATGTTATTATTTTTTTCACAAAAATTTAACGTTATTATTATGTCTTTAGAAAATTGTTATTATTATTATTAATATATATATATATATATATAATTATTTTTATCATCTTTTAGTCTTGAAATGTATATTATTATTAAATTGAAATTATTAAATTTGTACAGTAAACAACATTATCCTCAGCAATCCAATTCTACATTATGTACAATTGTGTGAATTAAATTTGATTTGTTCAATTTGTTATAGTAACATTGTCCAATATATAAAGTACAAACTCCTATATATAAAATAAGATAACAAATATCTTGTGTTTTTACAAACTTTTCTTTATGAAAATTATTTTAAAAATTCTTTCAACTTCATATCTGATTTAATTTTTATTTATAACAATAATTTATAAGTTAAATTTTACTATTTTTATAATAATTATTCAGGAAAAAAATTAAACTAACCACTAAAATTAGTTTAATGGTTAGGATAGTTAGAAACATAAGGACCAAGATTCAATCCTCATTGCGACCATCTTTGTAATCTTTTCTATCTTTACAAAAAAAAATTAAACTATAGTATAAATTATTTATCATGAATATAAAATAATTAATATAAAAATATCTACTTGTTCAAATTTTAAATAAAATTCACATATTCAAACATAATATTCATTTATATAATAATTTATTTTTAATTATATATACTAAACATGAATTTTACACCATTTTATTTCTTTACAAAACCAAATGAAAATAAACTATACACAGACTTCTCACCAAAAAAAAATGATTCTTTAGTGATTTTTCAAAAACATTTTGTAGCTTCTTTTTCAGTTAAATGGCAAACTAGTTATTGGGCATAATTATGGTGGTTGACGCACATCACAGAGGTCATTCCAAAGACGGCCTTACCAAATTTTGTGAATATAATGCATGATTACTTAGACGGATTTAGATTATTTTGATAAAATACTAACCAGATAGATATCGAACTGGAACATATCCTTAAGATTAGAAGTTCCATTCTAAAGACAGCAAAAATAAAAGTAGTTGGAGAAGCATCTGATGACACTAGAATACAATGAACTGGGTAAAAGGGTTGGTTGCTGTTTACTTATTGGTGCTTGTAGAATAACGCTCCTCTTCTTCATAATAAGAGTTGAAACCTACGATGTCCTTAATTTCTTCAAAAGATGGCATGCTTCCTGGAGGAGGGATACCGCCTCCTTTAATAGCAGAAAGTGCATCCTACAGATATTATTTACGAGTTAGTTAAGAATGAAAGTGAAGGAAATTAAGAGATGAAAGCAAAGAAAAGTAACCTGCATTGCCCGTATGGAAACCCCAACCAAAGAAAGTGGATAAACAGCAAGTTTATAACCAACTTCTTGAAGCTCCTTGGGATTAAGTAAAGGCGTTTTGCCTCCTCCTTCAAGCATATTAGCCTACACAACTCAACAATATACAAATGATGAGTAATTAGGAAATGAAAGGGGCATTAGTGAATGCAAATGCAATGATGCTATTGCTCATGATATTGATACCAGTTTTGGAACATGGGGAGAAACTTGACATAAAGCCTTCATCTCTTCCACGGAAGCAAGTGCATCGATGAAAAGAACATCGGCTCCAGCATCCGCAAAGGCCCTGCATCGGATCAACGCTTCCTCCAACGACACAGCTTGCCGAGCATCCGTACGCGCCACAATCACAATATCACAACCGCTCTCTTTTCTTGCATCAATCGCCGCCCTAATCTTCATCACCGCCTCATCTCTCGGCAACACCTTCCTTCCTCGCGTGTGTCCACACGCTTTCGGCGCCACCTATCCATCCAATTCACACAAATAACATCACAACCTAATTCAATCACCGTCCAACAACAATTAACAACATACACACTGATACTACAAGATTTATAGGATATGGAATCTAACACAATTGTGTGTGCAAAAGTGAGTTTGTAAGAAAAAGAAAGGTGACCTGGTCTTCGAGAAGGATACCGGCGAAACCGGCGGCGATGAAACCCTTGACGGTTCGCTTGAGGTTCATGGCGTTGCCGTAGCCGTTGTCGGCGTCGCCAATGACGGGAATGGAGACGGCTTGGGTGATGAGTCGGCCCTGATCGAGCATTTCGGCGTAGGAGAGGAGTCCAGTGTCGGGAAGAGCCAACCTGGAAGCGGCAATGGAGAAGCCACTGGTGATGCAGTAAGGGAAGCCGGCGGCTTCT